TATTGATCGGCGAGAGTGCAGAAAGGAAGAGTGAGTAGATTGTGTGGCGGCGTGTGTTAGAGCGCAGAGTCAGTATCAGAGAGGCAGAGGCAAGGTTTTTGCGGCTTTCCACCAACAGGCAACTATCGGGCCGCTCGCCAGCGTGGCCTTAGGACCGCCCCACCGTCCGCTGAGAACTGCACTGTAACACCGCAGGCGAGTCTCCCCAACAGGCATGATAGGTGTGAAGTGAGATCTTTTAAGAACGTCACACACCCCTGCTAGAGTATGCCGCGATTGGAGAGTAGCAGACAGCTGGTAGAGTATGCGAAGATAGGTCAGCAGCGGACTGTTGATAGAGAGTATGCTCGGTAGCAGAGTAGCTGGCAGAGTATGGGGAGATAAGAGGGTAGCAGACAGTTCGCACCTTCCTGTCACCCCATACTCTCTACCAGCAGTCTGCTGCTAGGTCGCTGGCAGACGCTAGATATCTATACTTCCTAGTCGCTGACGCTGCCGGACGCTCAGAATGGTGGTGGACGCTGCCGCAAGGTGCGAACTCACAGTATGAACGCGTCCTCACTGCGTGCGTATGTTACTCGGATGTCGAGTTTTTTTTTAGAAATTGACATGCTTTATCACAATTTATACATTCTGAATGGTTTATTTATTGGTTAATCAATCTTTCAGAGGCGATTCTGATAGTGTCATTATCACCAATGATCAACTATCTATATTGTATTAGTGATCGAAACTGGTAGGTATTTGAATGAGTATTCGACGTACACAACGAGTTCCATCAACAACAACATGACCAAATCAGTGTGTTCGTCCCCTGAGAGTTATGCTTCCAGCAAATCGGAGTAGTTTTATTTTGTGGAGTTACATGTTAGTGCCCCAAATGAGCATTAATAACTCAGCCACAACTAATAATCACATTTCACTTATTTTGCATGTAATTTCAATTTACTACTAATTAAAACACTGGTAAAGACGGTCGTTAAAGGAGCGCTGCTCAGAATTTCCCGCTACACGCAAGTGAGACCGCGTTCAGATTTGGCGACCACCGCCGAGCACCGCCGCAACGGTACAGTTCAAATTGGCACTGACAATGAGTGGACGGGGCCCGGTTTGAATTCCGCCGTTGCGACGGCGCGCCGCTTGGCGGTGGAGGGCACCCGGTGGTGGTCGTGCGATCCGATGGTGCCATCGCGAAGTCTGAACGCGGTCTGAGAGAGGGAATTCAGAGCTCCTCAGAGGGAGTCCAGAGCTCCGTCGACGATTGCGGAATCGAGACCTGCTCGAAATTAATTCTTACTTGACGCTTGAGCCTCCACAGGGTGGTCGTCCGTGTCACGCCGCCAGGATCAAGATAAGCCAGCGTTCTGCCCTAGATCGACACCGTTGGGTGATTTACTGGTATGTGGAAATCTTCCGAAAAGTAGGCCTTTAATAGAGGTGGCTCAATTTTGGAATGGCTAGAAGAAATACAAGAACGACTGGTATAGTGTTCATAGTGTCTCTCGTGCACAGAGAACCCACTAGGTAACTTTATCATATGGCAGGGACGGATGAAGGCGTTGGAGTACGTTCATAGTTTGCGCTAGCGTTTTGAGTGACTAACAAGTAGACGTATCGATTATCGCTTGAAACGTTGATGGACGCATAAACGATAAAACTTTGAACTGCTCTTTGCCAACTACACTGCAACTGATCTCTTCATTGCCTGTAACTCCTCTATCATGCAGTTGATCGCCTAGCCTGTAGTAAAGGTAGAACCACAAGGAAAGAACATAGAACGAAACACACAAATCACAACGCAAAACGGTTAAAAACCATAGCTAACGAGTTCTTACTAAGCAGAAAAAAATGAGAACATATATCCTGGAATCCAAGTTTCATGTGCCAGCAGATCTCGGGGAGATCCTATCGTCCGAAGGGTCTATTGTTTCCGTACCCTCCACGATTATCCATTTGAGACCTGAAACAGAATCTTTTTGTAATTCTATCACATATTCCACCTTTTCGGTGTAATTCGGGAGATTCTAGACGTGGGCAGACCACCCAGTATCCTTGGATTAATTCCAGTTAGCACAGCACTTCGGTGTCTTTTACGTCCTATATTATTTAATTCGTGGTAAAACTTGATAGTCGATAAAGCGTTCTCCTTCATTTCAGTTTCCCAAGATCCAGAAAACTAAACCAAGTACGCAGAATACTGTATCAGCGGTTCCTCGAACTGCGAACCTATCTTGTGTGACGGTGATTCGACACAGGTCATCAAAATGGAAGAAATAAATACGTAGACTATCCAGTTCTTGAGATATGAACAGAACAGAGCGTAGGCTTCCACGAACTGAACAGAAGTTAAAACGCCGTATCAAGTCAACTATCTAGGAATGAGAGACTATTCGCGCGCGATACTGGGGAACGTATCTCTTAAACTACCCTTGTACTTCCTACTCCTTGTAATTTTGTATTGTTAGTAGATAACAGTGCTCTGCTTTCCAAAATATTCAGAGGAAGAAATTTACTATCACACGATTTTTATCTTTACTAGTTCTCTAACCAACGATTAAAAAAATATACCTCATGAACGTTTGGGGGAAGGCTCCCCTTTGAGGCTCCAAGCCACCAGCCCTGCCTGGAAGCTGGCTTGTGAATTGCGCTTGCGCCTTCAGCGAACTACTTCCTGCTGCGCTCTGTAAATCCATCAATAAGATAAGACAAATGTCACATTGCAGTCACCGCTTATGAACATACTGCAGTGATAAATCGATGACACTCATAGTTCTGCCAAACCTGTGGCAAAACTAGGAAAATTCACCGGCAAAGTACAACCATTCAAGCAGCTTTCTGAGGGAAAGTAAGGACAAATAGACTCAGAGCAAATGAAGGGAAGGGTAGCAAGGTTGCGAGAAAGTGTCCAAAACAATCAAGCAAATATTCGATCTTTCGACAAACTATCTGATGGACTGGTGAGAAGTGAGCAAAATGAACATCAATACTTACCTAAACTTCGAGTATACGCAGCAAATAAGTCTCAGATGTGTTGACTTATGACACAAAAATACCATGAAGGGTTGAAAAGAGCAATTACAGTCTGTTGGCTGCGGATGATGAGGCGTGTCACACAGATGGACTTAGCGCGGCGCCAGCCCGTTTTCTATTTTTTCCTTCGGCAAGCGAAGGACTGTCATAAAATTCGTTTCAGTCGTTTTCTACCATTGTTGTCGCTTATCCGCGTCAACAACTGGTGGAGAACGAGCCGGCGGCGCGCCAAACCCGGCCGGATTGGCACATCCCTTCACCCACGAGTACAAAACTGCACGAAAATTCGGTACTTTTCCACTCTTCGGATTTTTACATCAAACCCATCTAAGAAGTTTCGACATGAAGAGGCATGCTGTTTATGAGACAATTGGAGATCTCATGGACTGTGGCTCGGTAAAGTGTTCCTACGAAAATTATGCGGACTTGCAACCAGCACTAGCCATATGATTGAATATTATTAAGAAGAAGACAGGTAGCGATCAGGAGAGAAGTATGTGCATTTTCTATTCATTGCTTATGGTTTTACAAAAAAAGGAGCTGTTTATTGCTTGTCCTTTCGTCAAAATCGTCGTTGCCAACACCTGGAATGTCTCGGATACTTTCAATCCACGTGGAAAAGTGCCCTTTCGATTTAGGCTAAATGAAGCGCTTCCTCAGAAGAAACTACCACCAATAAACGGCCACACTTAGAGCACATTTTCACTAAAATTTCCGATACACGCTCTTCCCTTGAGCATCTCGAGGTAAATGAGGCGCCATTAACTATGATACAATACTTGCTACCAATAAATGCCGGAATGCAGAATCCGTCATTGAACTGCTATGTGTTATGCACTCATCTGATTGTTCACCTTCTCTTTTTCTTCTTCTTATTCTTCAGGGTTTGCCCCACTCTGAGGCGGAATCTGCTTCAGATTTTGTGACGCCATTTCTCCCGATTTAATGCCTGATCTGAGTGAGCGCCAATTATCTTCGAATCCGCGTGCCGCGTGTCGAGTCAGCGCTTGCTTGGGACGTTTTCCGAGTATGCCATCGTGATCCATACGCGTGACACCGGCTGTCCAGCGTAGCATTTCCACCTCCATCACGCTGAGGCGAGCTTCTATCTCTGTGATCGCAGCCAGAACCGTACTCACTGACCTAACCATAGTCGTATAGATCTTCGATTCGAGGCGCTCCGGTATCGTTTCTCACAAATAACTCCAGTCATGGAGCGTCATTCGCCCATGCTGTACCCACGCTGAGTTCACCTCTGAGGCCAGGCTGCCGTCGGTTCTCCAGCAAGAGCGAGCAACTTTCTAATCCGCGATAATTCAAGGATTCTTACTGAGTAATAAGCTCGATGCAACGATTTTGAATAGGAATAGTATTCGCCGTCAAGTACTCCGTTTCTGATGTTCAGGCCTAAGTTCAAAACTTTGCCAGGTGATCAGAGCAGCTTTGCACCTGTTGCTCGAACTCACTTATATCTTCACCAGCAAGCACCACATCATCTGCGTAGAGAAGCGTCCTTGCGACTTTTGTTTCTGAACATCTCGATGCTGATTCCATCCATGACGAACGCAAAAAAAGAAGTGGAGAGATTGATATACGCCTGAATGTCAAAGTTTGTACGCGGCTCTTTGAGCTGAACACAGCATGCACACCCATCCAGTAAGCTTCTCGAAAACTTCGTTTCTGTCGCAAGACGTGTCATATACCTTCCGCCGAACGCGATCGAATGCCTTTTCCAGGTTCAGGAAAGCTAGACGCAGTCGCCTTCGCTTCTGTTTCTCCAGCAGAGGACGCGCGGTATGTACGGCTATCTACAACTGCCACAAAAACCGCATGACTGATAAGAAGCTGAACGATTTACCGTATACGACCGTCAACGATTCGCTCAAAAATGTAGGACAGTAAGCGAGTTGAATCGAACAAGGCTGCCCTTCTTCTTCTAAATCGGAATTTTCGCCTCTCTCGTCAGCTTTTGCGTGTTTTATTCTCAACGACCTAATTGAAGAAACTCGTCAACTTTCTGCAGAGCACTTGACTCCGAGCCGAGCAACCAGCTGGCTTGTGACTTTCAAAGGACGGCTGGTCATTCAGCTTAGGTCAGGAATTTAAAGAAGTGAGAAGAAAACGACAAAAATGGCAGGTGGACAACGACGATTTGGTAAAAACGCTATACAGTAAACTGTTCCACCTTAACACGGTGAACTTCACAGCAAAACAAATATCTATGTATTCAGATGCCGAGATCCCGAGATCAAGATGGAGAATAAATGATCACCATAATGGCACTAAGGAGAAGCGATTGAGCAGGAAGCAAACAAATATGCAACGGTGTGGAAAAAGATGGACTTTGCTGCCAGCTTAGCGGATAGTGGCACCTAACTCCGCGATCTGACTGAAAAGAGGAGTTGACTGCCAACATAACTCTTATAACTCTTGAAACAGTGTATACTGACAGTGAGAGGTGCAAAACGTACCAAGAACAGCAAATGTTCATTAAAATCTAAATCACCTTAGAATCGCTTCTCCAGCTTGTTGCATTCGAAGAACCGCTGGTGTTACTTCTCCATGAATCACTAGACGGAGCAGTCCCTCCATTGCTTGGCTTCTCAGATTCACGACTACTAGGATTTCTCCACGATTCCCAACGTGGTTGGATGGAACTCGGTGGAACAGAAGCTTGGAGAGTGATAGAAGGAAGTGTTTTTTCGCTAGATGTTTTCGTATTATCTGATGGTTTAAGAGAAACCGCAGGTGTAGCACTCTTAGAAACTAAGCTATCCTTGGAAACACTGCTCTGAGGAAGCTCAGTCTTTCCATCTGCTTTCGGTGCTGAGACAGGCTGTCCGTACAAAGCTCTCATTATCCTAAATGAAATAGAAATAAACAAGTGAGCTAGCCCACAACTAGATGGGCAAACAAATGTCTCTAAAAATGGTGGAGAATTTAATGAGTAATTCGAAGAGTGATTACAAATCACTCACAGATCATGAAAATATGTTCATGACACATTGCGAGTCTAGCCGAAATGATGCGAGTCGCGACATTGCACACAAATCCAGCTAGCCTTTTTAGGAAATAGACTCGACCAGCACTCTGGCGTGAAATTAGTTGGATCATGACAGCCTATGCCCATACTTTTTTCATGTCCCTACTCAAAAAAAAATTGACAGTGGTCCATTCACATCTTCCAATTCATGCCTTGAGGACCATTGTCATACCATGTTTATTATTTAAGAAATTTAGAATAATGTAACGTCAAGCTGATTTTTCCCTGTTTCACGTTGGCTTTCCATAATGTTATGTGAGACTGTCCGTTGGGAGGGAGGGGAGGGGTCGGCGTCTCCTCAGCCACGTAGTCGAGGAGGGGGTGCGATCTGGGCTCGAACACTTTTTACGGCGGAGCGTGAGAGAATTTTTGCATTGACGTTTCGCTGCTCGTTGCTGGCAGTCGAGTTTTTCTGAGATAAATTCGCACTTAATAAACTAACATGTGAACGGTTGGCTGTCATGACTCAGTTTGACGTTGAAGGCAGTTGGCACGATGAACCTCTAAGACATGCAGAAGTAGTATGCCTAGCAGGACTTATGCGCCTCTGAGCAACCGCTGTGCATGGTGCTTTTTTCCCAGGTGAAGGTCCCTTATCAGCGGCCCTATCAGGCTAGCAACATGTGCGCGCAGGACGCCACACTGCGCGCCTGTCCGTCCAGCATAATACCACCATCGATGCTCGGCTATCCCCGCGTTCATCGATTGTGTAAGGGATGGGATGCAGGACGGATGCCCCCGAGTGCGCAGCTCTTATCTATGTCTGTGGGTGTGTTGGCACGCGATGCAATGGGTGAACTCGTCAAAATTTTCTTTCGGTATTCCGTTAGAACAAAAAGGCCGGTGTTTTCGCCGGTATCTGTTTGCGCGTTTCAGTTTTGCCCCTTTCCACTAGTTCCACCGCTGCTACGCGATTTCAGACAGAACCTATTCTTTATGCCTTTAAGTGCGAGCTGCAATTGAGACGTTTAGGGGAGGTGTCGTCTGGGCTGAGCGATAGGACGGGATAAATCAGCCAGGCCCTCTCGGAATATGCTACAAATTCGGCTTGTGTAAGGAGACTTGTAGTTTGCGACTGACAATGCTGAATCGAAGTCGTCAGCTGTGAACGAGTATTCCGTGTTTTTAAAATCGGGCACTTGTGCCTTAGAAGCGGCTGGATCGGAGCCCAATGTGGCTGAAAAGTGGCTGTTTTGCGCACAATGAAGCGACTTAGGCTCCTGATTCGAAGTATATTCATATCTGAGGGGGGATTAGTAGTGTCATGACTTTGGAATTACTGTTTTAGTTTCTTCGGATTCAGACCCGACTTCGTTCGAGGACCGAAGTCGCCCGAGTGAAAGAGTTTTACCAAGGAGATAGGTTAGATGTGTGTTTAGGACGAGAATTGGTTTCAACAACAGCCGGCGAAGGATCCTAACTTTGCCAATGAAAGTGTTAAGGGTATGTAGAATGGAGAGAAGATAAACCTGCCAACAACCCTGGTTCTCCAGCAAGTTCCTCGTAGGACTCCCATGCTGAGTTAGGAATGGGTTCGAGCGATTGCAGTTCGGCGTGGAGCACGTTCCAGTTAAAGATGGATTCAGAGGGCAACATTTCTGAGTGAGTAGCGGAAATCACTGCTAGAGAACGTAGCAACTGGCGAGCCCCGAGGTGAGCTTGCTGAGGAACTCAACGAAGTAAGAGGTTGCGCGGGAATGCTTCCATTCAAGATCAGCAGGGAAAAATGTATACCAAGTGAATCGAATCTGTTGGTCAAAAGTAGTATCACTCGAGACAATGACGCACATGTTCCTATAGGATGGAACCGCTGATCGATGGCAGACTCTCCTGGCCGATCTCGGTACGGATTTCTGGCACCAATGTCTCGGCATAAAAGAAAATGACCAAGTTGTTCTAAGGAGGTGATAGTGACACCTAGCAACTACAAACTTCGAGTCAAGGACGACAACTCATTCGCTCAAGGCTCGACGTGACAAGGAGCGATAGACTATTCGTAAATACCATACCGATGCACTGAGAACTGCGGACATCAAAGTCGATGAGCACATTGAAAAGTGGGTCTCTTCTTTTCGTGAACCAATGGCTGTGAATTTCCGATCAAATTACTGGATCCATAACTCGGCAATAATGCTGCATAGCGATAAACAAAGGCAAGTGGAAAAATTCTAAATCGAAGTCCGAAGTGAAGAACTATTCCAGAAACACTGGAAACACCGGCCTAACCAACGATGAAAGTCGGAGCTTCAGCCATGTTTAAGAATTCACAGTTTATCTTTCACAAGGGCCGCGGAACGAAGGACCAACTCTTGACTCATGTTTAAATTAAGTACATACTGAACAATCACTTGAATAAAAAGTGATTAAAAATTAAACAAACAATTTGTTCGTCGACAGGTTTCTTATAGCTGGTGAAGAGTCTGCTAAGACAGACGCTTCCTTTTCCTCCACTGGTTGGATCCATCGTAGCATTTACTACGTCCAAAAGCAGTTCATATGCTTTCTAAAAAGGAAAGCAAAAGTAAACCGGCTAGTCTTAACATAGCAATACATCGATGCCTACTTCGTCCTCGCGCTTCATTCTTGCCAGTTCAGCCTTGATCCTTTCCATTTTTTCTTGCTCATCATTGTTTGCCAAATTTGCTTGTGAGGTAGACTCGCTGCGTTCTATATAGTAGAAAATATTGGTTGAAAATGCCAAGATCATTGTTTTACGACATTACCTTGATGTTCTTTACGGATACCTTGCTCTTCTTTACGGATCATGCCACTTTCGAATGCTGGTTTACGGGTCAAGCTGCTTTCCAATGCTGATTTTCTTATCATGCCCTTTTCGAATGATGACGAGGATGAATTGTTGGACACAACCGGGAGATTCGGTTTCGGAACAGGACTAGGTTTTGGAACAGGACGGTCTTTAGGAATGACAGTTTCCATAACCCTGAAAAATCGAAAATGTGCTTTAGGTTGAGTTGACTATCTTTATGATTATGACCTTTGAAAAACCTCTAAAAATCTACTTCCAATAAGATTTCAGTGGGGGGGGGTCAGAAAGGTTGCTTAGTTCCCGTTTCACACGTACCCTCCGAATTAAAAATTTTTCATAGCCACCCTCTATGCTGATCAGTAAGGAAAAGGATGAATAACGCTACCTATGGTGATCATTTTATTTTCTATAATCTTCAAGATTAGTTCTTGCTATCAGTCAAAACCTTTGTGAATAGATGTAAATACTTATGAAACTATGTGATCCAAAGTTGTGATGGATAGCATTGAATTTAGGATTTAGTTTACTTTAATGTACACATAGATATGTACACGTACGCTTTTTTATGCATACGTACACCTGCAATATACAAGATAGTTAAATCATGTGACTGTTGTCGGTGGAGGCACTCGTAAATCGCTTTTAAATCACGACCAGGTGAACTTGCGATAAAGAAAACCTATCAAGGAAAGTAAGCAGATATGTCCAACCAAGAGCGGCTCAGTGGAACGCCCCACGTTCATTCGACATTCAGTCGTTTCCTTTGGACATGGTTGTTCTGCTCCCACCCACGGAGGATGTACCACTTCCGCAGCATAAAAATACGTGTGGAAAGCGCGAACCGCTCGCGCCGAGGCCATGCTCCGCTCACTGGCCACCTACCCAGCTTTCACTTTGAAAACCTACATGGTGGGGCGATCTTCCCGCTACTAACTTTCTTCATTCTCAATGATGGGAATGACGTGATAAGGAGAAAGAGCTGACACCAGCTTCGTCTGCGTCTGCGCACGTGCAAGCGCGGTTCGCCTGGGGGTCTATATGGGGCTATTTGGACGGGTTATTACTGATTTTTTTTCTTCACAACTGAATCGCTTGCTATCTTATCATTAACATTCGAGCAGCATAGCTCCCCATTTTTTTAATACGATGCGTGCCTTTAACGGTGACAAAGGTGAATATCGAAAAAAATTCGAGATATAACTGCCTAAAGTACCTTCGACGACCTACGCAAAATTCCTTCCTTACTGGAAACTCAGAGCATCGGCAATTCTGATGGCGAGTGACACGTCTTGTTCCAAGCATTAGATACAGGCGTATTCATAACCGCGGTAGAAAATTCGCTTTTTTTGGAAATTTTGGCGTTTTCTATCAGAGCTGGATGAGTAAAAAAGTCCTAACTAGCAGTGAGCCATTTGACACCATTAAAGTATAAAAGGGTCCACATAGAAAAAGGCAGAAGGGGTGCCGTTCGGCGACGGGGAGGGGCCATTCTGCACTTTTACTTCCCATCGATGTGCGACCCATCTAGAGAGCCTTTTCTTGAGTTGACAGGTTTTACCATGACGGCTAGATGAGCTTGCTCCAGCTTCACAAGAGTTCACAGGTTTCACCAGAGTGAGACTTGTAAACCGGAACTAGTGAAGCAGTGAAAGTGCAAAATGCCCCCCCCCCTCGCCGAACTGTGCCGGCAGAACGACATGATAATGCTAGAGTACCTCTTCATCACATTTGTATAAATTCCACCGCTCGGTCTAGATATCGGTTCCTGGCGTTGTGCCCAACTATCGAACGCTAAAATAAAGCATTTCACAATAGAGACCAAAGACGTTCAAAAAGATAAAGCAGTACTCGTGACGCTACTGCTCCCGCCTGGACCAGGAGGCCTGCTGGGAGTTCTCCATGATTCAGATGCCCGCTCGTTCGGTGTGTTTTGTCGATTTCTTGAAGTAAACCACTTCAAACATACTAACCTGAAGTATTTCCGATATATCTCAAATAAAATACCTGTCCGCAGTCCCCCATGAGCCACTGGTAGGGAGAAACCCGTGATTCAATAAAGAAGAAGTGAGACGGGAAGATGACATTGGTGCATCAGCAAAACCACCCTGAAAAGTGAACGTGTACACTACGATTGTTATGTAGCAGATTCAAAAAACGGCTCACCCGAACAAATTTCTCTCCTGGCGGATTTGGCAGATTCCAAGACGCGGGCCTTCGAATGCCAGTGCCAGGGCGAACTTCGAAACTGCAAATGAATTCAAATCGCGGCACTATTTACCCTTTACTGCCCCAGTTTTCCAAAAACAGGCCGTCTGTGACCGACTTTTTTCTGCCTTGGCAGAATTAGCTAGAAATTCGTTCCCCTGAGGCAGTTTAACTTACTGAACAGTCTGCTCGGCACGAAACCTCCTGGCGCCAAAATACCCTGAATCACCAAATTCGCTGAAAACTTGTTCCAAGGGGTAGTCTGACCTCCTGAACACGAATATCACATCCGCTTAGACGAAACCTCCTGGCTCCCGCGCTAGAGGCGCTGGCGCGAAATTATCCCAAGTCACCGGCGCCTGTGGCGCGGGCGCCAGAGGGTTTCGGGCTAAGCGAATGTGATATTCGTATTCAGGAGGTCAAACTACCCTAGGAGACAACATTTGAGCCAAATCTGTCCACGGAGAAAAAAGTCGGTCAGAAACTGGCTCAATTCTGGATGGTTGGGGCAGTGAATGGGTAAATAGTGCCCAAATCGCTCTTTACGGAGCACCTCTAAAACCCGCTACTATCTTCATTTTGAACGGTGGGAGTGAGGTGGTTTGGAGAAAGAATTACTATCAACAAAAGCAAACTCGTCCATCCACACCCTTGTGCATGTACAAGTGCGATTCAGCATAAGGTTCTATATGGGACACTTGGGACGGCCTTTTTTCTGCTTCTTTCTTCATTTCTGTGTTAGTTACCACTCTGTCACTTGGCGTGCCTTCAGTGCACCTACTCCCGTCCAGAATCGTGGAGCCTTTCAAACCTCATCTTACTGCAAGACGGGCAGATATTCGAAAGAATTTTTCGATCTCCAACAAGACTTTTGTAATCAAAAATGAGAGCTCAGTTGGCGTAAGCGTGATCCGATTTTGGAGCAGTACGCGCTGTCAAGAAAGCCACTTACCACTAAACCCTGTCTTTACTCTCAAGAAGAATGAAAAATGGAACACACCTTTGTCTGCTTGGCTGGAATCCGCCCCCATTTGGCGTTCCACGCTGCATCTATCTGCTCTGAAAGGATCAGTTACGCGAGAATTGAGGAAGCTTGAGAATTTCCAAAATACACGACGGAACAGGTTGGGAAGCGTTCGTACTTTGCGACAATGGAGCATAGGAGAATGTGCATCAAAAAAAAAAATAGGAATAGATCAATTCTCCTATGCCTTAATTTCGACAGATCGATACTTATATTTTCCTTTAACACGTATTCGTTTCTTTATAATCACCGCAAAGTGGGAACTCCGCGTAAGGCATTGTTCACAGTCTGCGACCCTGACGAAACGGCGGTTGGGAGAAAAGCAAAAATAGTCATCGATCGGAGAATCGCCAACCGC